TTTTTGCACAACTACACAATTTATTGGGCCGCATATCAAATGATTTTGGGGCCCTTTAATGGGGTGTATATAGAAGGGTAGATAGCTATGCCATAACAGGGAATTATTTCGAACTCATTAGAGAATGCAGCAGCAGCAGCAGCAGTAGCAAGTAGCAGCAGGAGCGACAAGGAAATTGCATTTACCAACCCACCCACTCACATGCATATCAATTAAGCCCGAAAATTTGGTGGGTGGGCTGGCATTTGTGTGGGGGTTGGGCTGGCTAGTGACAATAAGGCTGCTAATGGGCGGTGGGCGTGCCTCATTAATGTTGCAGGGACCCCGATGCGAATGCAGTTAATCGAAAGATTTTCCAGTCAACTGGCCTCGCGGGACTCGACGGTTCGACTGTTTGACTGTTCGAAAATTAGAAATCCCGGAAATAGTTTCCGCCTGTGCACTGAACTGAAGTGGGCGTGGCCGGGCCATAATTCCATTGATTATGCCAGGTCCGACGAATGGATTTTAATTCAATCATTCACAGCTGAACGATATTAGAGGCCGTAGAGGAACAGCCATAGGTACACATGGGAAAAATGACGGCATTTCAACATTTCTTAAATCGAAAACTTCAGTTTTTGGTATTCCAAAAGTTAGTTAATATTATTTAAGATTCCTTAAAACTAACCAATACTCGAAGTACAAACAAACTTTAGGTTATATTTTCTAACCGTGTATCAGTGACGTTCATTACTCGCGTGTTAATCATACGCCACGTTGCACAGCTATGGGCTAATTAAGGTTCGAACAACTCTAACCCCTCTAGTGATTTAATAGATTTCCAGTTTGACATTTTGCATGTTTTCACAGAGTGGGACAAAAGTGGCTGAGGCCCGCTGAGTGTTTGCTGTGTAATGAATGGGTTAGCATCCTTTTTCCTTTGATTTATTGGTTTTGCTTTCAGCCTTTTTTATTTCGGTTGTGCAACCCACACAGCAGACGTGCTTTGCATAATTATTTCTCGAGAGTTTGGCAAGTGTCCAGGCCTCTGTTGGTTTTATTCTCCTAGTGAACGGCTCAAAACATAGGCATTCAATGTTAAGTTGTCGATAGTTAGGCTCAGAGGATCCTAGTCCTCTGAATAGGTTTCAAATTTAAGAACCTTTTCTGAAATCCATTTGAAATGAGCACAATGGGAACAAGGCAGGCGATGAGCATTAGCAGGAAAATGTAGTTCATGAAGTAAGAGGTGTTCCATAAATGGCAAAAGTATTTAGAGAACCGATGTACGAAGTCGAACTTCTGGGTGCCCTCATCGTACTGAAGGCTGTACAGACATAGCAAGTGGCAGACTTTCTTCTGGTAATCGAAGTAGCTGACAATGTGGCACACGCAGAGCAGTTTGTGCAACCGCGCTGACAGGGGCATGTTTCCAACTAATTGGTCTAACGACATCGACGGCAACAGGACGAGTAGTCCTGTGCAGTCAAAGGAGCAAAAATGCGATAGGGGGCCATAACAATTTGGTGAGTACTTAGCTCTAATGTGAGGATTGTGTTACACAGTGGTAAAATATAGCAAAAGTTTCGCAGGACTGAATAGTTTGCAATTAAAAACATTTATTTTAACAAATTTTAAAGTAATTGAGATACTTTTTGATGGAGTAGTGCTTAAATAACAAGGAAATCGAATGAAACTTGAAGCAACGCTAAAGAAAGTGGATTTTTTATAAAATTTGTATACTTCATATAAAAAAACAAGATGACCTTAACTTTATTAACTTATTTCCCAGAACTTTCGCGGTGCATCTCTGTTTTGTACTTGGCTCCCTGGGCAAATGCTTTTAGCAGGAAAAAGCATTCTCGAGCTGCGGATAATTGATGACATCGCCGCAGACTGAAACCACTTCAATTAGCGGACTCTGTAGTCAGTCCTCAAATCGATAAGTTGCACACGCTTAAATATTTTAAAATTTACCCGAACCGCTGTCAGACCCACTTCAGATTTGCGTCGCTCACGTAGCAAACTAATTTATTTGCAAACTGGGAATTCGCCGCAGAAGTCCACCTTGGCAGGAAAAAAAAGCGACAGAAAAACGAAAAAAAGGGAGAGTGTGTGTAAACTCGGTCAGACCTGACTTTCAGCTCAGCACCGAATGGCGATTAATTTGTTCAGGTCTCAATCGCTGCTTACTCACTACCCACTTTCCACTCTCCGCTTGCCACTTGCCACTTGCGAAGGAGATTTGCATGGCAGCATATCGGCCATGTTCATCGCAGCATAACCCAAAACTGTCAAACTCAAGCGGCTCCTTCCTTAGGCGACTTTTCTACGCTGTTGTTAGCAGTGCACAGAAAGAAATTTTAGGTAAGTCTCAACTCAAATGCTAACTGCTTTATAATGTTAAACCATAAATTCCCTTTATGACAACAACTTTTCTTCAGGTGTATCCTTCATGCTCAACTTCCAACGCTCGCCGTTTACTTTGTCATTTCAATTTTGAATTCGTGTCGTAGCGTTCAGCGCTTTTATGTGGCATTTTTAAAATCCTGTACATGTCGGCCCAGGCACGGATACCCAAGGATGGCAAGGACCAAGGACTAAACACCCAGGACCAGTCCGGGCGCCACGTTGGAATTCAATAAAGAGCTTCGACCGACCGACCAGCCGATGTTGGGACACTAGGCTGTTGGGTTCGTCGAGCTGAGCTGACTGGAAGGAAGGAAGGTCGGAAGGAAGGCAGGAAGAAAGGCAGACAGTTAGCCGGGCATGTTTGTCAAACAATCATTAGAGACGTCAGTCGGCGGAGGAAATGCTGCAGGAATGTAGGCGTTGGAAACATCACAATCAGCGTTAGCAGCTGCCGTCTGAGCCACATCACACCTAACCGAAGGAGATGCCAGATATCCGTCGACCACTTCATTATGTGCGAATTTACGACGGCAGTTAAATAAGACGTCAATGGGGAAAAGGCTGCGTTATTATTCGGCGTTTCAAGAGGAAATTTTAGCTTAAACTGGAAAACTGGCTAAGTTAACTTTTAAAGAGTTTGAGCTAGAAATGCTCACGCTCTGTAATTATCTAGTTAAGTTAATGATGAGTCATTTTCCACATCTCTTAACTGCTTTATCATGTCAGCTGATCTAAAACTTGTATGTTTACGCAGATAGTTTCCCATAGACTTTTTAGCTCATCTAATTTTCTAAGCCTCTCCATGGCTTAATTGGACAAAAGTCTGCCACAATTTTTACCATCAAAGTTGCTCCACTTCAGTCTGCCATTATAAATCCACAGGATTGTTCAGTGCGCAGCTGTCCACATTCAACATTCAACATTCCGGCAACTGCAGCAATTTTCATTAGCTTAAAAACTTTGCCTTACCAAACTACATTTTTAATAAGTTTGTTTGTTTTATTTTTTATCGCCGGCCCGGCTGGGGGCTCTCTAAAAATGCAGAAAGGGCGAACGAAAGAGCATCAAAAACATGCATAAATCATCAAAAGCATCTCTGACAACTAATGAAAATATGCAAAAATTTATAGCTCAGCGAAATCGACGAAAAAAATGTTCGGATAAAGCGTCGAATCAAAAAAAAAAATCCCAATAAAAAGTTAAAGTAAAAAAAAAAAAAGAAAAGAAGAGAAGACTCTCCAACTAGCCAACGGCAAAAAGCATTTAAATTGAAAAAATGGCAGTCGAAAAATAAATTCATTTGCTTTATGCATGCCGCACGCAGCGAGCAAAAAGAACGGAGCCCGAACGGCAAGTGGCAAGGACACAGACAGGATGTGCGGTAGGAGTTTTATGTGGCAGTTTATTTTTGGCGACACTATCACAGGAACAGCTACCAACACCCAGGCTCGAAACCTTTTATGCACTCAAAGAACTAAACTAAATAATATCGGATCACCCATCTCCATGTTGGTTCCATCTTACTTGGCTTAATAGTGGCAAATCTAGATTGATAGCTTGGTAAACTCATTTTAAAGCAATATAACCTTGTTCTTATTTCTCCAAGTGCACCCCTAGGTTCCTGCTGTTTGGCCGCTCCTTTTTTCCGTAGCACGCCGGTTACAGGACGAAGGTCCCGGAATGTGACACGATGCGGCGACGAGAGGACAACGATGCGGCCATGTATAAAATTTTTCACAATTGCAATTTGTAATAAAAACATGCACTTTTTGCCATTGTTATATGCGGCCACACATGCTGTGCTGTACCGTAGAATGGAGATCCCCATTGCATTCATATACGAGCATACATACATATATGCGAGCTGGGGGAAGTTACATGCGTGTAAAACCATTTGCCGGGCGATGAAAAAGTCAGGAAAAACTTCGACCAAGATGCCACCAACCGGGGCAGAATGAGCTCCGGTGCGATAGCGATGGCCAGACAGAGATAGAGGTGCAACGGGATCGGGAAAGAGGATGGGGAGAGGTGACCCCTTATGGCTTTATGCCATTTTAAGTGCTCCACCCATTCCATAGCCATATCCATGGCCACATCCACTTCCACATCCGAGTGTCAACTGTTAAAGCGGTCCAGAGTGCAACTCCACAAATAAACAGAGCATAAAATATGATTGTCGTTATATACGTTTTTTTGCAAGTAATTCTCTCCGGGGGAAAGGGCACTGAGAGGTATGTTAACAATGGAATATAATTGATAGCGGCTGATGCTCTTCATATTTATGAACAAAACTTTATATAAATATATTTAAAAGTAATGACTGTCAAAAAGAATACCGGGAAGTTTCATCAGCACAAAGGTAAAGTGTATTAAATGTAATCGGAAAACAAGAAAAGAAAGCCACACAGGACTAAACATACTCAAAGCACTTTGTCTTGCCTAATTATATTAATTACTTTAACGATAACATCTTATGACGATATACCCTGTCATCAAATGATATAAACGACCTTTCAGAGGGCTTCAATTTATAAATGTAATGCACAGTTTATTGCTGTTACCGATATAACTTTCAGATAGTTGAGTTACTTAGTCCATTACCGGGAATGGAGAGACACGCAACGGCCAGGGGCTTTTGCCTGTGTCACTTGATTTGTGTGTGGTATCAGACCGGAAGGATCGGCCTATATTTGGGTTTCTATAACGTGGGTTATTCCGAGCAGCTGAGGAAATTTATATGCGACGAGCAACTTTACGTGCAAATAATGGCTTTGGTTAACTTGTTTACCAGCTGGCTCTATCTCTGCTGCAGTTATCGATGGATCCACGATCAGTTTGTGTTCCTGCTTTATGTTCCTCTGTATGTATACTTTTTGATACTGAGAAGACATCTGGCGAAGCTTCTGAATGAATGTGCTGGTGTCCACAAATCAATGCAAAGGATTCTTGGCAGTCGACTGTGCGTGAAGATCCACAGAGAATGTATCTACACCTTACTTCTCTTAACAATGATTATTTTGCTGCTTCTATGGAAAGTGAGAATTTATTCTATCTATCAGAGTATTTTTATTTTCGGCGTGGGATTTATCTACCACTTTGAGCTGTTGTTCTATGGTAACTATCTGATTTGGCTGAGCTGTATCTACAGATCTCTGAATGTGTTTCTCTGCCAAGACATGAGAAGTGACAGATTGTTTATATTAAAGGGAGTGCTACGGCTGCAAACGGTTATTTGGCGCGTTCATCAAAGCGTCTCCAGATATTTCGCCCTTCACATTATAAGTTTCATGATCCAGCCGGGGGTTAAAATGCTAATGATTCTTCATAGTTCTGGGCCACAACTGACTGCTCAAATGATTTCCTTGGCTCTACACTTACTCATGTTGACCCTCATTTTGATAATTGCCTCTAATCTACAAGAGCAGCATAGAAAATTTCAGAGGAATTACCTAAAACTAAGAGATGATCCCAACAACTTCGTTTTGAAGTCCTGGCGGCTCTTGCAACATAGAACTTTACCACAAGCCTTTGGAGTAACCTTTATGAGAAAGCGTGAAAAAGTGAAGTACAAACAGGATGTAGTTACTTTGATGGTGAGTTCTTGGCTTAACCAATTCGAAGTAATTTTAATCCACTTTCAGTTCTCCAACAACTACCCAGTTTTGCAGTTAACCAAAATGCCTTTTCATCTAACAACTTTTGGCTTCAAATGTGTCAAAATGAGAATTTCATTAACTATGCTGAGAAGCTGCCTGAGAACCCACATCCGTGAACTTCTATTGATGCTTGTTATTCGCCTTTATTTCCACAAAAACCTAACTTTTCCTGACTACGAGTATGAGTCCCAGGACGATTTCAATGGCAATGTGACCCAAACAATTAGTCAAGTCTATCGCTTTTACTTCTACGATGAGTTCCAGTGAATAATAAACACCGAAATGAGCCACATTAACTTAATTATCAATTACTTAATGGCTGCGGAGAGTGATCATAGTATGAATACCATTCCTGAGAACTTTTAGTTCTTTTCTGAAATGGCGAGACTTCGTTTCATCTTTAACATAGTCAAAGTTTTGCGATTTCCTTTGCACTTTTTTGGGCTTCTTCAGTTGAGGTTCAGTAACTCTCAAAGGATATATCAGCAAAAAGCAAACTTGTGCCGATTTCTACCTGCTATTTTTATCACGTTGATATTGGTCATCCATCAGTTTGTGAGTTATCATTGGGAAAGGGAAAGTCAACTGGTTAACTCCTTGAATATTGAGAAGAGACCTCTAAGGAGTGAAATCAAACTATGGAGCGAGAAGCTAACTAGCATCTATATCTTCCTGACTCTAATTTGGTCTTTGGCCAAAAAGAATTATCTGTGGAAAGTGGTAAATGAAGGACAATCGGCATATAAGCAGTTGAAAGCTCTGCTGGGAAAACATTTAATCCTGGAATGTTCCTGGTTGGTTCTCATCTACGGAATACTCTTGCTTCTCTTACTGAATGTGTTTGGAGCGACAATTTTATATTTCAACTGGCCTAAAATGAGTGGCGAACCCAAAACCATCACCCTTGCTGAAATATTTCAAGTTACCAACTACCTAATGGGACTACCCCGATTGATGTTTGTTCTTATATGGGCGCTGCACATTCTTTATCATCTGATAAATGCAGGATGGCTTGAAACCTTAAGGGAGTTAAGTTTACAAAGGAATTTAAAACTGTTTCAGTTCAATCTTCGTTATCTGTTTTCGGTTCACAAGCACATGAACATCTTCGCTGGGCATTACTTCAGAATGTCTTATGTATGCTTCCTATACATCATGTATTTTCGAATAGCAGAACTCCTTCAATATTTCCGATTTAATGCCATTGAGCTTGTGCAGAAGCAAAAGAGCCAAGAGGATCTGGAAGATGAAGCCTTTTGGAATGGACAAGAGAGCATACAAAATCTTGGAAATCCTATCATGAAATCTGTACTCATCTTATCCTGGCATTTGGCTTTGTGGATGCTGCTACTCGCTGCAGCTAATGTACATCAGGAGAAGTATTTCAACTTGATGGCAAAAAGCTGGAATTTCAAAGCAGATGAAAGTTGCGAACTGAAGGAAATTCTGGCTGGAAATGGCTGGAAGCGTCTTACCTTTAAGCAGTTGGATATCCTGGATGTAATGGTTGGTACACTTATATTAAAATTTATTCAAAATAATTTAATATATTTGTATTCAAAGTGCCTTTCAGGAATCTCAATTTGCGACCGTCAACCTGTTTCGATTTGCTTTTTGGCCAATAAGTTAAGAATAAACAGAAGCAGCTATATTAACTTAAAAACCATAACAGGACACTTCAGGCTCCTTTTAAATCTAGTAATTTCCGCTGGCATGGTCTACTTTATCCAGCAAATGGAACTCAGGCAACTGCAAGGATACCGTATACAGGAATCATTATAAAATTAACCAGCGCAACTCATCATGACAAATTAAATAATAATTAAATTAGTATATAAATAATTTATGCCACAGAAGAAGAACCCCAGATGCTTTGTGCCCGCACTCCACCTTTCCCTCAATTACTTAATGAATACAAAGCAGGAAAGTCGGGTGGGCAACCTTTCTGCCATTTTAATGACCTGACCTCGGGCCTCTTCAAATATCACAGACATAAAAAGGCAACCCTCAAAACTTTTGCCATTATAAACATAAAGCGTAAAGCAACAAATGGCCGCCGCATTGTTGTTATTTCAATGGCCTTGCCCTATCGTAACTTAAGGACACGCACCTTTTTGCGTGGCGCCAAAAAGGTGTAATTTATGCACCAAACTTGATTGAATTTATTCGCAGTCGAGATTTACTCCCGGACAGACACTGAACATATCGATACAGTGAGAGAAAATCAAATTAGATTCAATAAATTAACATAAATCTGGGTAAATTCCCTGGCACTTCGTTGCCCACTCCACTTGGTATGCAAATGGCGACTGCACGGGCCTGAGCTCCCCGTTTTTTTCGAGGCTCCAAGCCGTGGATGGAGCTCCGATCGATTCCAATAAACTTCTTGCCACACGATGCGAGCAACTGGCAACATATGCGCTATCGATGCAGCCGCCGGCAGCCAGTCACTGAAATTCAATCAAGGCAAGAATTCGGAAAGCCAAAAGGGAAATGAGTCGACCGGATTAAAGACGGGGCTTGAATTCGGTTCACAGGAAAAGGAAGTTTCCACAAACGGTAACTTCGTTAAAGTAAAAACGAAAATGCTTTACTGGCTTAACTCTCAACTTAGTAACTCAAATCAAATTCATAAAATATTACAAATTAAATAGTTTTGAATTTATAACTATCAAATCTGGATTAGGTTTTCATTCGTGGCCATAATGCATGACACAATCTTCTGCCAACAGTTCAATTCCAAACTTTGCTATCTCAATGAATGGCAGAAGTCGACAAAATTTAATCGACATTTTTTGATCAGCAAAACCACTTAGTGCGGCGGATGTCGAGCACTTAAAGGGTGCACCTTGAAATGCCGTTTGGCATCGCTGACCCGCTGCCTTTCCGAATCGGCGCCGCCATTTCGACGGCAATTTTTTGTCGCGCACTGTGTAGGCGCCATGTCTATGTCTGCAATTTCTTTTGGCAGTTTTGAAAGGCTGCCAACATGGACTATGCCAGAAAGGCGGAAAAGTTCAGGGCGGCATAAGCAAAATACAATGTGTGCTTAGCTGCAGTTCGGGAACATATATAAGTATACGGAGGTATAACAATCCATATCCTGACCTGCTTTGTTATGAAGGAAATACTGATACTAGCATTTTTGAGAGGGGTACCATCATAAAATTTTACGAAAAATCTCAAAAAATGTACTTTTTAGGCCAAGTACACAGTTCGACGATGAATTTAGTTACGAACACAACGAGGTATAACATTCCATGTTTCGTCCACTATTGGCTGTGTTATCAACAAAATAATGATATTTTGGGATACAAAATCCAAAAACCTATTAATGACACTTATTTGCAACATTACTTGTGGCTTTTCGGCTCTATCTTGGTCAAAACAGGACGCAGAGCCAAAATAACTACTGTTTTGTGCTGCTAATGACCACTACTTGCCGCCCCTATCACTCGTTTTTCGATTTTGAGAAAATCCATTTTAGGCAAAATTTCGCATTTTTTATAAGGGGTACCATCATCAAAATTTGCGAAAAATGTAAAAAATTAAAGTATCTCAGATTTGAATGCAAATCATTTGGGAATCATAGCAATAAAATTACGAGCTCTACAAGATATGACATTCCATATTCTAACCATTTTTGACTTCGTAATGAGGAAAATACTGATATTTTGAGACACAAATCGGGACAGACTGGGGGGTTGAACGGTTCTGTACGGGATACCATCATACAATTTTCCGAAAAATCCCAACAAATTTACCCTTTTAGCCTGGTATGCAGTTCGACTGGGAATTAAAATACGAACTCAACGAGGTATGACACTCCGTATTCCGACGATTTGTTGTGAGAATTCTACTGATATTTTGAGCATAGAATCAAGATTACAACTTTTTAGCCAAATTTGAGATATTTTTACCAGCATTATCCTTATAACTCAGTGAAAATAAGACACAAAGCTATAAAGAAGAGTGTTTTGTGCAGCTAACGACCCAAGCAAACTTTCTATGTGGGTATGACGATGATTTTCGGAAATTAAATTTTTTGTCAAATTTCACTTTTTTGTAAGGGGTACCATCATCATTTTTATGAAAATTTGAAAAAATATTTTTTTCTTCAGATTTCAATGGCACTTGGATATTTTAAAAATAGATTGAAAAACAAGCCTATCGGCATATGGCACTCCATATTCCGACCATTTTTGGCTTTGTTATGGACAAAATACTAATATTTTGAGGCTCAAATCGGGACAGACCGGTTATCGCATTTTTGAACATCGTAAAAATCTCCAAAAAATCTCAAAAAATTTACTTTTTGAGCGTGGTACATAGTTCGACGGGGAATTTAAATACGAACTCAACGAGGTATAACATTTCATGTTTCGACCATTTTTGGCTTTGTAATGAACAAAATACTGATATTTTAGGCTCGGAATCAAGTATACGACCTTTTGACAGAAGAGAGATACGATTTTTTGCCGTTTTTTAACTGTAACTTTGTCAAAACAAGCGGCACGACTAAAACAATGACTGTTTTATGCTGCTGACTACCAAAACTTAAAACCACTATACTTACTTTTAACATTATTGTTTTGATTCTTGCTGCAAGTGCTGATTTAAAGGCTAAAAAACACAAAAAACCAATTTTTGAGAGAAATTTGCAATATTACTTGCGGCTTCTTAGCTCTATCTTGGTCAAAACAAGACTTACAGCTAAATTAACAACTGTTTTGTGCTGCTAACGACCAATACCTAAAACCCCTATCACTCGTTTTTCGATTTTGAGAAAATTAATTTTTGCCCAAATTTCGCATTTTTTATAAGGGGTACCATCATAAAAATTTGCGAAAAATGTAAAAAATTGAAGTATCTCAGATTTGAATGCAAATCATTTGGGAATCTTAGCAATCGAATTACGATTATTGTGACATATGACATTTCATATTTGGACAATTTTTGGCTTTGTAATGGGGAAAACACTGATATTTTGAGGCACAAATCGGGACAGACCGATTTTCGCATTTTTGGGAAGGGGAAACTGAATAATTAATAAGATTGTATATGAGCGAAACGAGAACTTGTGAAATGCTTACAAGGACTCTAGGACAGGGGCATTTAATAACCGATCTCAAAAGCTTCAGGTGCGACGAAAAGGACTCTAGTAATATAATAATGACACGTGTGTGTTTGGCAACCGCGGAAATTATTGATTATGCGCGCTTTGGGGCGGGACACGGTTGATTGTCTGCGGTGACAGCTGTCAGCCGAGCGTTTCAGCCGCCCTGACTTCTGACATGCATAATTAATGCACTGCGGGTGGGGGATCACAAAACTCAAAGGGTCGCCCAGGGATGAACGGTTGAATGGATGGATGGATGGATGGATGGATGGCCTGGCGAAGTGTGGCTAATGAAATTTTAATTAGTGCAAGACAAGCGATAAAAAGACGGAAGAACGAAATTACCATAAATGGTAAAGCCTGAGGAAAATCAATGATAAACCGGGCCACTCACACACACACACAGACACTCACATATGGACAGAGTTCCGGGGCAATTACATGCATCAAAGATTCATATCTCCTAAATGCCGCACGGCGTCGCCTTTCCCTTTTCATAATGCCATCATAATGACTTTATCTCTCAAGCAGGCAATAAATCTTGTGGGCCCCCAAAGGAGAGCCCTAGATAAAATCCCAAGGAAGCAAGCAGTGGGAGGTTGCCATAGCGGCTGTATAATGAAATATTACGCATACGCACAGTAGAGCACTCATCTAACCCACTTTCTTTGGCCCACTTTGCGAGCGCACCGCCGCCCATCATAAAAGTTAATTAATACGGCTTGGTTAGCTGCTAAATACAGCGCAAAATATGCCCTGACCCAGCCCGGCTGACGTCATTTATCATTCTGCCTAGCCATTGGCTAGGCACATGGGGCGTATGCGTAATATGCGCTGACAGTTAGTTGACCACAGATTTTAAGCCTGCAGCAACTCATCCTCCCGCCGTTGGCCATCCGTTGGGGTGCTATCGGCCATCAGCTATCAGCGAATGGGAAATCATTGGAAATTGCACAAAACAAATTTGCATGTAAATTCCAATGGGCACATTGTCGACTCGGCGAGATTACACTAAGGATTTGCTGGAACTGTGGATTACCTAAGTCACAGAATTTATATTTCAATACAAGAACTAAGAATAAATTGGGTAGAGAAAAGAATTGGGTATCCGAAAAGGTAATATATTTTTGTTTTGCCAATTTTTAGAGACACTTTTGAGTTATCTCTTCGATTGACTTGATACTCCCGCGATTACCCCTCAATCAACTGGCTAAAAATATGCAAACGAAGTGAAGTATCTATGTAAATGTTTGTTGGTCTACAGTCTGGCGCGGGTTTCACCTGCCGTTTGGTATTGTGCGGTGCCTTTCCAGTTCCCCAATTTGCATCTGCCCCTCACTTATCCGCCATACCTATACTATATATTTGAATCTCGGGGCCGGCAAGGAAATATGTTTCGTTTTTAAACAAATCCAAATGAAATCTGCGCATAACAACAAAGTTTTTTCCCTGAAAAAAGTTTCCATCCGATGAAAAAAGATACTTTTGGGCTAAAGAAAGAAAAACTTTGCTCTGGCTGTGCATTTTGTTTTCTGATAAATTTATCCAGATATTGAAATCTATTTGTAATATTTGTTCTTCCCTTTTTTTGTGCTTTGATATGGAGAGGAATGCCTGATGAAATTCCGTACTGTATACACTTTTGATTGAATTTTCAGTTTGC